GTGAGTAGTATCTGGGGTCTTAAAAGCCTGTGAGCAGCCATCTAAGATACTCCACTGGTCTCACCCCTTCGGGAGCAAGGGAGAATGAGAACAGGATACAAGGAAAAGATTAGTCCAAAGGACTGATGGACCACAGCTACCAAGGCCTTCACCAGACTGAGTCCAGTACAGCTAGATGGTGCCTGGCTACCACCACTGACCGCTCTGAGCGGGATCACAACAGAGGGTTCTGGACAGAGCTGGAGACGGATGTAGAACAAAATTCTAACATACACAAAAAGACCAGATTTACTGGCCTGACAGAAACTGGGGAAACCCCAAGAATATGGCCCCCAGACACCCTGTTAGCTCAGTGGTGAAGTCACTCCCGAGGTTCGCCGTTCAGTCGGGGATTGGACAGCCTCATAAAACGGGACTAATGAGGCACAGCAGTCCAGGGACAAGGACTAGAAGCAGAAGGGGACAGGAAAATCTGGTGATAGGGAGCCCAAGGTTGAGTAAGGACAGTGTTCACATGTAGTGGGATTCTTAACCATTGTCATAGGGCGATATGTGTACTAACTGTTTAATGAGAAACTATTTTGTTTTGTGAACCTTCATCTAAAGTGAGAATAGCAGCACAACTGGAAGAAAGTAATCAATGTCAATGAATTGTACATGTAGAAATTTTTGAAATGGTGTATCTTTGGCTATGTATATTTTCACCAAAAAACAAGGTCCTCCAAGGTCATGAAGGGAGAGTGCTGACATGTCGTGGGGTTGTTAACCAATGTCATAAAACAATATGTGTACTGACTGTTTAATAAGAAACTATTTGTTCTGTAAACCTTCGCCTAAAGTACAATAAAAAAAAAATTTTTTAGAAAGGTGAAGTACAAAGTGTGACCCAGGAGAAGGGACACTACCTGCAAAAGAACTATTTGACTTCTCTAATATGTACAAATAGAAAGCTGGGGGATATGTGTGGGAATGGCCCTTAAGAGCATGGGGTGATGGTGCAAGGAACATAAAGATGGATCAGTCTTAAGTTTATTGATATGGGCCCACTAAGCACAGGTTCTTTATTCAGTGTTTTAGCTCAAGAGGTTAGGAAAGGATCTAATGGTGTATTTGGTTGGTTCACTTAAGCATGAATTACACAGTGGCCTACACTAAATCAAGTTGAAGTACCAGAACTACCTTGGAATACTGTAGAGGAAGGTATCCAAATGCTTAGAGAAATTGGCATGCTGGAGTGGATTTATCAGTTTAGACCACAGACCCACACATAGAGTGCCCAGAGGACATACCTTTTACCACAATGGTGAGGAACAAATTTGTGGAGGGAGCCCCAGCATCTTTGAAGACTGCTGTGGTAGCTATTTTACATAAGTCAGATTTGACACTGGGAAATGCCCTAACAATTAAGACGCCTAACTCTAATGGGGCTGATTGGACCCTTTGATGGTAGGGGCCAAGTGGCTGCACTCAATCGACAAAGGTGGATGTGGTTACTTTAATGGACAGCAGAGTCCAAGCAGTAATTAGAATAGTCTGACTCATATGGTCTTGTCATTGGCTACTTAGTCATGGTGTCCCTAGGAGAAAAACAGATGGGAAATCTACTAGATATTTACTTGATCTGTAAAAGCGGAGGAATTCTAGGTGAAGTGAATGGCAGTCTAACTGGAATCGCCAGAGCAGAGTCAAGGCCCCTCAGTCAATTTCCAGACTTGAGCCAGTTTACAGACCCACAACCCCTTGAATGGAGTGGAGGCCAGGTCCCCTTGAGGAAGAACCCCACTGCACTGCCAAAAATTTATACTGTTGATCTTTCTCCCATCCTTCCCTAAAGGGATCTATGGCTTTTCAGTGGGGAAAAGGAAATAATCAGGCTTCTGGGGGATTACTAGACATTGACTCTGAACTGACTGTAATTCCAGGAGACCCAAAACGTCACTGTGGCCCACCAGTCAGAGTGGGGGCATGTGGAGGTCAGGTTATTAACGAAGTCTCAGCTCAGATTCATCTCACAGTGGGTTCAGTGGGTCCCCAAGCCCATCCTGTAGTGATTTCCCCAGTTCCAGAATACAGAATTGGAATAGACATACTCAGAAACTGGCAAAACCCCCACATTGGATCCCTGACATGTGGACTAAGGGCTGTTGTGGTAGGAACAGCCAAGTGGAAGCCATTAGAACTGCCCCTGCCTAGGAAAATAGTAAACCAAAAGCAATACCACATTCCTGGAGGAATTGCAGAGTTTACTGCCACCATCAAGGACTTGAAGGATGCAGGGGTGGTGGTTCCCATCACACCCCAATTCAACTCGCCTATTTGGCCTGTGCAAAACAGATGGATCTTGGAGAAAGACAGTGGATTATTGTAAACTTAACCAGGTTGTGACTCCAGTTGCAGCTGCTGTTCCAGATGTAGTTTCACTGCTTGAGCAAATTAATACATCTCCTGGTACCTGACATGAAGCTGTTGATCTGGCCAATGCCTTTTTCTCAATTCTGGCTTCTAAGAAACACCAGAAGCAAGTCCAGCAATACACCTTTACTGTTCTTCTAAAGGGGTATATCAACTCTCCAGCCCAATGTCATAATTTAGTCCAAAGGAACCTTGACCGCCTTTCCCTTCCAAATACGTCGTACTGGTCCATTACATTGATGACATTACTCTGACTGGACCTACTAAGGAAGAAGTGTCAGTGACTCTGGGCTTGTTGGTAAAATATTTGCGTACTAGAGGGTGGAAAATTAATCCCACAAAAATTCAGGCACCTTCCACCTCACTGAAATTTCTAGGAGTCTAGTGGTGTGGGTCATGTTGAGATACTCCTTCTAAAGTGAAAGATAAGTTTTTACATCTGGCCCCTCCTACAACTAAAAACATCTGGTGGGCCTCTGGATTTTGGGGGCAACATATACCTCATTTGGATGTGCTACTCAGCCTGTGTATCAGGTAACTCGAAAAGCTGCTAGTTTTGAGTGGGGCCCTGAGCAAGAGAAGACTCTTGTTCCAAGTAAAATGAAATCCTTGACAACTTCAGTATTTTCTCCGTTTATCATGATGTTGCTGCTTGGTCCAGTTGTGAGGATTTTTGTTTTCTTTATGTTGAGGTTTAATCTATAATGAAGACTGTAGTCGTGGATCTTCCTCAGTAAGTGTTCCAAGTCTTCTTCACTTTCAGCAAGCAATGTTGTGTCATCTGCATGTGGCAGATCATTAATGAGTGTTCTCCAATCATGATGCCAAGTCAGCATACAGATTGAATAAGTATGGTGAAAGAATACAACCCTGACGCACGCCTTTATAGCTATTATCTTCTTCTTGTTAGATGCCATCGAGTCAGTTCCGACTCAGTGACCCTTTGTACAACAGAACAAAACACTGCCCAGTTCTGCACAATCCTCACAGTCATTGCTGTTTGAGCCTGTTGTTGCAGCTACTGTGTCAGTCCATCTCGTTGAGGGTCCTCCTCTTTTTCTTTGACCCTCTACTTTACCAGGCATGATTTCCTTCTTCAGGAAGTGGTCCAAAGTACATGAGATGAAGTGAGTTCCTTAGGGGAAGAAATTAGCTTCTGATTGTTAACAGCCCTTTTCCCTACTACATCAAAAGTGTATAAGTTGTGAAAGAGATGCATTTGATAAGCATTTACAGAGGAGGGAGGGAGGGAAGAAGGTAGCAAGTCAATTTTCATGCTTGACGCTGAACTCACTTACCAGAATCTCTGCAAGCTCAGTATGAGAAAATATGTGAATTAGTTACTATTTATTTTTTTCCTTAATCTCATTTTTAAAATGAAATAGTTCTACAGAAGTTCTAGTAATGTCTTTTTTATATTATAGTTATTTCATAGAAGTAGGTTTTTACTTTAAAGTAATTTGTTTGTTATTCCTAGTTTTTATTCATGAATTATGTTTAAAGGTTCTACTCAAGCGAACATGAATACAGCGGATTACATATTATTCAACCCTCAACTGGGAAAATTGTGAATGAACTTTTCAAAGAGGCAAGGGAACATGGAGCAGTCCCTCTGAATGAAGCCGCAAGAGCATCAGGTGATGACAGATCTAAAGTAAGCACTACATTTTATAACTAAATGTGCTTTTATATCTTTGATTCTTCTATAGATTTTATACTCTTTGTACATATTGTTTTACTAATTATATATTTCTGTTACATATCTGCTTCATTTTTGTATGATAATCTTTCTATATTCTTTCAATTAAGAATGAGGCAGTTTCTTATACTTCCCTACAACTTCTCTGTTTACTTTTTTATTTTCAAATAACTATAGATTCCCAGGAAGTTGCAGAGATAGCACAGAGGTCCCGGGAATCTTTCAACTAGTTTCTCCCGGTGGTTTCATCTTATGTAATTATAGGTCAATATCAAAACGAGGAATGTGACATCAGTTCATGTGTGTGTATAGGTCTTTGTCATTTTATCACGTGTAGATTTGTGTAATCACTGCCTCAGTCAAGAGACTGTTCCATCAGTTTTGACAGACAGCTACTGTTGAGAACACTGTTCTCAGTGAAGTATTGTCTTAGTCATCTAGTGCTGCTGTAACAGTCCAGTAGGCTACAAGTCCAAATTCAGGGCATCAGCTCCAGGAGAAGACTTTCTATCTCTGTCGACTCTGGAGGAAGGGCCTTGTAATGCATCAGTCTTCCCTTGGTCTGGGAGCATCTCAACGCAGGAACCTCAGGTCCAAAGGACACACTCTGCTCCCGGCACTGCTTTCTTGGTGGTATGAGGTCCCCATGTGTCTCTGCTCGCTTCTCTCTTTTACATCTCAAAAGAGATTGGCTTAGGACACCATCTAATCTTGTAGACCTCATCAGTATACCTGCCGTTAATCCATCTTATTACATCGTAGTGATAGAGTTTACAACACATAAGGAAATCACATCAGATTACAAAACGGTAGACAAACATACAATACTGGGAATCATGACCCAGCCAAGTTGACAGATATTTTTGTGGGACACAATCCATGACAAATATCAGTTTTAGTTTTCATTTCATTATTTAGCAACCACTTGAAAGGCCTTTCCAATCAAGTCTAAGGTAATTTCCGTTCTTGCAAGTTCTCCAATTCTGGAAGGACTGTGTGAAATTTATGTAGTTTAGTTTATAGAAAAGAAAAACGCTAATTAAAATCTCATTCATGTATGAATGGTGATTGAAAGGAGTAATATTTTTACCTCATAAGCTACACTATGTGAAAGATAGAATACCTTTTGATTAGTATAGCAAAATAAAAAGTGCAATTGTAGTTTGTTGCGTTTGAATGAAAGCAGCTTATAAAATAACTATAGAGCTTTTTCTTCAGGGTATTTTATACCCATTCATAAAATACTTCCTTTACTCTGTGAAACTCTATTTTGTAAAATATGGTATAAGCATTATAAGTTTTATTGTAACATTTGTCAAAATATTAATTGTGGCCTTCTTTAAGTCTGTTTTATACTTTTAAAAATGTATTTCAATGTATAAATGCATTTTTTAGTTTAAGATTGACCTAAATTATTTCACCTTCTGATTCACTAGTATTTTCATAGGAAGAAACATAATTTGCTTGACTACACTTACTTGTTAAAAAAAAAAAAAAAAGATCTCCATTCTAATACAAAGTTTTTCTAGTAAGTATGAACCAGTTTGGCTAATTATAATTGATCTAGTCTTAAAATATGTATGTCACATTATACTAACATTTTGCTTAATAAGCCTTATGAATTTTTAGCTCATTTACTATGTGTTTCAGTCATTTACAGGTGGAGGATACAGACTGGGTAATTCCTTTTGTAACCGTTCTGAATACATCTGTGGAGAAAATCAGCTGCAAGATGTAGGTAATCAAAATGAAAATTAATCAAAATGAAAAAGGGCAGATACTTGCCTCTACTCACTACTGTTTGTTTCAGAATTAGAAGTTGATAATAAAATCTTTTTGTTATTATTTTTTGAAACACGAATTAAAAGGACCAGTGTGTAGTTTCTTAATCTCAAATTTTGTATTTTGTATGTCAGTAGTGCCTTGCGCTTAGCGGTACATTAACAATTTTTTTTAATGAGTGTATGATTCACCATGTCAAAATGATTTTATAAGTATAATAATTGTTATAAATGGTGTACTGTCATTATGTAGAGTGAGCTGAGCTATAAACATAGAAACACCTAAAATCTTTGTTTCTGCTGCCATTTGAAATTTTGCAGTTCTAATTTCATTTTTAACATTTACACTTTAACCTTGGACAGTCACGGGAAATTATGTCTCGACCCTTGACATGAGTGTGTAAGCTCTATAGCAGAAAAGGTAGAGTACGGGCCCAGAAGAAGGTGGGGGTGGGGCGGAAGCTGTGAATGCTGCCTGCTGGTTGCTTTCATTTTCTCAGGGAACCAGGAATAATTGTACTTAAAGGCCGGGGTCAGGCCGCGTGACCTTTGGTTTTTTGAACCATCGTCAGTCTGTTGAGCCAAACACAAATCTGCTAAGCAATCCCACGTGGCTTCATGTATATCTTTAACTGTGAATGATTAATAACTCCATATTTTAAATAAGTGGTTTAATTTGTTGTGAAATTTCACATTTGAAACTTAAAATTGTTTGGTGAAAGAGTCTTATATTTCTTTCCTTTTTTTTAATGCCCAAAAGGTTCAGATTTTGCTTAAACTGTGGAGGAATGGTTTCAGTTTAGATGATGGAGAATTGAGACCTTACAATGACCCAACAAATGCTCAGTTTCTGGAGTCTGTTAAGAGAGGGTAAGATGTGTTACTTGTATGCTGTTTGTTACTCAGAGTGGGACTATTGTTTAATAGACTGCTGTTTAGTAGTGCACCTGGTGTTTTAAGAGTTGGGTGCTGGAATACATTATGTAAGTGGTTGCTGGGGGGAAAGGGTATTCTTAAGTATAAACGCTATATTGCTATCTGTCCGTCACTGGCTCTTAACTTTGGGGGTGGGCCCTGGTCCCTGGCCCTTTTAAAATCAGATCAAGCTGGGGACCCATTTCAAGAAGAAACAGTGTAATTAATCAGTGAATGGAGTAGCCTGGAGCTGCCCATCCACTGAGCCACTATCCTGCTTACTGTTGACAGGGTGACTCATTGCATGTATGCCTGAAATTCAGCAACTTGCGTTAGAAATCTTTTAAAGTGGCATTACTGCTGGCAGAAGATGTCAAAAGGTTAGTTGGAAGTTATAATTTGTGAAAGTAAGCCAGATGTTTGACTCATTCTAAGGACATCGTAACTCACCAGCCCTTGCCTCTTAGATTCAGTCACATCATTTTTATGAATTTATGATAACCTAGATTTTTATTAAGCTAAAACAAATAAAATAAGTATCATGGTAAAAGGGAAAGAAATTCCGTTCATATTCAGTAATGGAATAAAAAATTGAGTTAGACTGGCATTTTATATGGTATTTTCATCTAGATGAGAGTGTAGCCATACTTCCACTAGGATTTTTCAGTAGCCACACGTGACTAAATGAAGCAGAAAGGCTGTCTTTTTTATTTTTTCTGTGCCTTTGAAGAAGGTCGGTTGCTTGATTTGACTTCCCCATGCCCTTTCAATACTTGGCTTGTTTCTTGCACCTGAACTGGTCTTCCGTCTCTTCCCAGACTGTGTTGTGTTAAAGAGCACAGACATGGGAGCCAGGCTGCCTGGTTTTGAATCCCAACTCTGTCATTTACTGCCTGTGGCCTTGGACGGGTTAACCTCTCTGTTACATCAGTGTCTTCATCTGTATTACACCTGCCTTACAGGGCTGTTGGGGCAGTAAATAAGTTAATAATACGTGTAAAGTTGTTAGAACAGCGCCTGGTACGTAGTTTTTGTTTTTTTCCAGTTGCTGTTGAGTCAGCTCCAACTCATGGTGACCCCATGTACGTCAAAGTAGAAATGGGCTTCATAGGATTTTCAATGGCAGATTTTTCAGTAGATTGCTAGGCCTTTTTCTCCAGGTCACCTCTAGGTGGCCTTGAACCTCCAGCCTCTCGGTTAGCAGCCTGTCGTGCTAACCGTTTGCACTCCCGGAGACTCTGGTGCATAGTTAGCGCCTAATATTATTTTTGTTCCATCCTATTATTCAGTCATTTGTGTACTGTTTTATTTCTTATTCTTTTTTTCTTTTTAACTTTTTAGATTCTTTCTTAGTATCTTAAATACTTTTATTTCATTGATCTGCTTATTTAGTATATTTATATAAAATATAATAATAATAGTACCATCTTCTGTAAAATCCTTTTAGTGCATAAGACAGTTCGTATCCATCATGTTATTAGGACCTCATTGTTATTAGGACCTTCCTTGTAAAGGAAGTAGTAGGATCTCCCCCTTACATTTGAGAAATCTGAGGCCGAGGGCATGAGTGGCTTGCCTAGCTAATAAAGGTATAAACGGCTGTAGAACCCAGGTCTCTTGAATCTGGTCCTGGTTGTTTTTGCTGTACTACACTATGTTCGAACCTGCATAAGTTGAACTTGCACCTGTTCTAGTCAGTTTTAATGTTAAAATTTCAGGAACTATTCTAGAAAGTGTGTTTTCTTCTTCTCCCGCCATTCTTATCTAGGGGAAAGGATCTAGTGGCCAAAGCCCTTTCTCATGCCAGTGCATTTAAAGATTTCTGTTTGACAAGCTTGGCGCGTGCTACTGAAGTCATTTTCTGTACCCACACTTAGAACACCTCTTGCTTTTTACTGTAATCCAGTGGTTCCCCTGACCCTCTACACCAAATACCTCAAAATATAGTATTTTCTCCTTTCTCTTTTGTCCAAGCTGTATGTGGAACCGGTTTTAAATAATGATCAAAATAAAAGCTAATATATGGTGAACATCTGTGTGTATCAGACTCTTCTCCAAGTGCTTCATTTAATATTTAGTCTCATTTAATTTTCACAATAACACTGTGAAGTAGCTACTATTATTATGTCCACAGTACAGATGAAGAAACTGAGGCACAGAGCTTTTTATAACTTTCATTGGCCATATAGCTAGTAATTGGCAGAGTTGGAAGTAGAGCCCAGCAGAATGGCTGCAGAGCCTGTGCTTTTAGCCATTGCTCGTGCCAGCTGCTCTGCACACAATACTCGCTCTTTCCCCCAGACCTCTTACAAGAGATGCAACTTTTCCTTCTTTCATGTTGTCTATCAAAAGAACCTTTCTTTTTGCAAGCTCTGAGCTACTGTTTCCACTATTCCTGCTTTTGTCCTCCTGTCTTACTTACATGGCAAATACTGAGATGATCAAATATGGTTTCCACGCTCAGCAACTTCACTGTTTTTTGGAGCAAAGTGAAGACATCCCTAATCAACATCTAAAAGGAACTTCACATTAAGTGAAGTAATTGTTACTTAATAATAGGATTTGCTGTAGGTATTCTTACATGAGATATTAATAGCTGCTCAGTGTATTATGTGAATGTTTTCTGTTCTGTATACTTACTTGCAGTGATGAGAATGCTCTGCAGATCCCACATGGGCTCTCTGATGCCTAGAAAGAGAAGTGTTAATAATAACTTTTATAGATTTAATTAATTGAAATTAACAAAGCATAGATAATGTCCTTTGCAATATGATTAAGTTTATATCCTCCCCCCATCACCTGTGTCAATCTTTTTCCTAAAAAGTTTTTGTTTTTTAAAAACTCCTTCGTAAGAGGGGGAAAAAATGCTATTTGAAGACTAACATAGTTGAGTGAAACTTGTAGCTGTTATTCTTTTTTAAAGAGTAAGGTGTTCGGTAGTTAACTCACATGTTTGCCCCTTTCTCCTCATTACTTGATTAAAATAACTGCAGCCTCAGTTTCACTCTGCAAACAGAAGATGAGAGGAGAAAAAACAAAAGGGACCAGAAGTGGGATATATCAAAGTTATTTTGAAGGTTCTCTTCTTTTCTTTTTTTTTTAATTGTGAGCTTTTAAGCACGTGTTTTAGGATTTAATCCACTCATTCTGATTTTAGATGGCATTAATTATATTTATACTCCTGTGCATTAATTGCTAGCAGCCTAAAAGAATTAATTATGTAAGTATGGTTGGAAAATTTGTTCATAGGTGAATGGTAACATTTGAAGAACAGTGGTTTAGCGAAAAAGTAGAGGCTTCACAGTTGTTACACCATGTCTGAAACATCCTTCTAGTCTAAAATCATAGTAGAGAATTTAAGGGAGCTACATGTTTTGTTTTGTAATGTTCAAAAGTCAGTAATTATGCTTGCTCTAAGCAATAGTAAAATGTTTCTAAAGTGGTTATTTCTCTCTAGAAATTGTTTTATGTGACCTTCACACACTTGACAAATGATAGGTCCTTCCCTGCCTTTGAAAGTTTGCTTTCTTAGATATGTGTTAGGAACAGGATTGTACTGTATAGACATGGCATTTGTCAGGGTAGATATAAAGGATGAGGAATCTAGTGATTTTGCAGTTATAAGAAATGCATTTCTGTGTTATACTTTCATTAGCTGACAGTGGGATCTATCCTAAGTAAAAATACACCTGAAGAGATAGGTCAGTGATGAGCTGGGAGATTAAGCAGCAGTTAAGGGACCAGAGTAGGGGGTTGTGCTCCACAGAGGAATTGAAGCGGAGCTCTTCCAAGTGATGAAATACGTCCAGGGAGAGTAGTGGAAGTAGAGTGTAGATGAAGCTTATTGGAGTGAGGTAGTCAAGGAACTCTGAAGCAAAGGTATTGTAGAAGACTAATTAATTAGCATAAGTTTCAAATTGGAATTCTACAAGGCTAATGTCAGGATACCAAAAAAAACAAAAAAAAGGCAAGAAATGCCATAAGCAGTATGCTGAAATCATTGAGAAGCTCTCCTAGGAGGCAGTATGTGGTGGTGGTAAATACAAGGATGTAATAGTTTATGTCAGTGCTATGAACTTGCAGAATCACTGTTCATCTGCTAAGTGAAGATCAGCATTACTATTGTAATTGATGGTAGCTTCAAGATGGTGGAAGAAGAAACATACTGGTGATGAATGTACTATGATAGATATTAAAACTATTATCAAATGAAAACAATCTGTAGACTTTGTAAGCTAATATTCAAGCAGTCGTAGTATACTAAAACAGAATTTTTTTTTATTTCAGCCCCACCATATCCTCAAGTACAAATTATGATCAAGAAGTGTTTTACAGAAGAGTCCTTGAAAATAATGAATGATGTCAGATAGTAGTTCTCAACTGTATAAGACTCATTGTCCCCTTTTTATAACAAATATTTTATAACACCATCTTCACTATCCTCAAAAAGGAACTCATAGATAATGTTATCTACCTATGCATACTATTTCCAAAAAATAGATACAATATTCAACATTAAATACGTTTGAGAAATAAAAGGGGAGTAATTTGTCATGAGTTACACATAAATGCTCGGTCAGATGTGACCACACCAGAAGACATAATGAAGTAATCAGATGGTTTGCGCCTTTCTGCAGTCTAGCACTTCTCATATAAACGTGACAGATACAAAAACAGAATGATAAGGTATGTTAAGATGGCATCTTAATGACTGCAAGTGGCATTGAAGTCAGAGACTTAGTACAAGTGCCAAACAAAGCAAAGTGTGCTCTTCCCTTCAGTTTATATGGTAATGCATTCTTGTAAAATTCAAAGTATGTTAACATAGTACAAAAAAGAATGTTTTTGTTTATATGTAAAACAGTTAGGTTTTCAGCTTAGACAGTTTTAAGAAGTGTGTTTGTCCCCCTGACTCTCTGGCAGGGCCCTCCGTGACTCCTGAGCCCAAGACAAGAATCCATTGTGCTTAACGAGTCCCAGCATTGTAGGCATCTCACATCTTAGGCCATGACACTTAGACAGCAGCACTCACGAATCACACGCTAGTCAGAACTCCCCCTGTGCATTTCCCATATGTTTTTCAGGGACTTCAGAAATAAATACCTGCATTAACTATTATATCCTCATCAGAATTTTCCAATGCTAAGTTAGGTATAAATTGCTATCTTCATTTAGCTTTCAAAATCACTAAGATAACCAAAAACATCCCTATTTGAGAACTACTGAGGAGTAATGTGATGTGACTCAAAGAGATCTATGCAGACTAATCAATGGTTGTGGAAATTTTTATATGCTAATTTAAGCATAAATTTCCATATTTCAGTGTAGCTAATGATTAAAATAATCTCGACAATGTAGTTTATTTTAAAATTTTTTTTAATTAATACCTTTTTGCTCTCCTTTTTAAGAGAAATTCCCCTGGAGCTTCAGCGTTTGGTTCGTGGCAGCCAAGTGAGTTTGGATATGGAGGATCATCAGGATCAAGAATACATAAAACCTAGATTGAGGTTCAAGGCTTTTAGTGGAGAAGGGCAGAAACTTGGAAGGTAAAACGTTAAAATTAGAAAAATACTAGCCTTTATTCAAAATGAATTTTCTTTGGGGTTGAAAAACTACAGAGTAAACTATGAAGTAAAACTGAAATACCATGAACTATGAAGACTTGTTGATGGAATTAGATATGCAAATCTAGTAATAATATTAGTAAGTAGCAAACACTTGCGTAGTGATTACCACATGCCTAGCACTTCTGAGCATTTTACACGTGTAAATACTGTTTGATGTAGATGTGGCATAAACCCATTGCCAAACCCATTGCCGTCAAATCAATTCCAACCCATAGCAACTGTAGGACAGAGTAGAACTGCCGCATAGGGTTTCCATGGAGCGGCTAGTGGATTCAGACTGCCAACATTTTGGTTAGCAGCCAGGCTCTTAACCACTGCACCACCAGGGCTCCAGAGATGTGATATAGATACTGTTATTACTCCATTTTGCAAATGCAGTAATTTGCCCAAGATCATTGAGCTGGTAAATGGCTAGTATACAGAAGTCAAATGCAAGCACTGGCTCCAGAGTTCATGCTCTTAACCTATACCATATTGCCTTTTTCTCATTATGTGGTTTTAAAATGGAAAATTGTAGAAGGTTATTTAGCCAAATTACAACTCTCAGAGTGCATGTCTGTCATAAGTAGTTACAGCACTGTTGCAGCAAGGAGCAGTCAGTGTGCTTAGGCTGGTTTTCAGGGTTTTTTTTCATCAAGTTATATATGTAAAGCACATAAAGTCTGAGCTCCTTTGATTGTAGTTAAAGGAGAGAATTGTCTGTGAGATACTTCCAAAGAACCCCTAGGACTTTGCAGAGCACAGTTTAAAAATCAGTGTGTTTGGTGTAATGTGTGGGTGGACTGTTATGATGACCATGGTTTTAAAAAAAAACTTCATAAATCTTATAAAATAGGTTGGTGAAAATTACCTTTTGTTTGCCCACATGTTATTGTAGAAGACCCTGTGGAAATGTGCCATTGGTGATGTTCCCCGTGTACGCTTTTGTGAATCCCTTGTTCCTTTTGGTGTTATTCCTTCCCTTCTGAGTTCTTTTCAATTACTGGTGCACACTGATCCTCTACCCACCCCCACCCCCCCACTTAAGTACATAAAAATCAACATAAGACCAGTTCTATAAATGAGATGATTACTCATCTTCCTGCTGTCCCACTTCTCCATTAACTCTGACACCAGCCACCCACGTGGTACTTTCTCTCTGATTCTGGTCATTCAGAGTTAGGTCAGACCTTACAAGTTAGAAGGACTCTGTCCTTCGGATTGACTGCCTGAGCCCCAGCTACCCAGAGCTGGGCCACGTAAGTTAGAAGGACTATGTCCTTCCAACTGCCAAATAGGCACGCACCAGCCTCTTCTGGCTCTAATTGCGCCTGTGGGTTCAATACTTCAGTACCCACGGAAGGGGCTATACACACTATAACAACTTTAATGTAACCACAAAAGGATATGAACAAAGATGAGGTCTGGGAGAGTTCCTGCACCAGGCTGCCATGTCCTAATGGATGTGCTACTCTCCCACGTCCGTTGAGGTCTTTCAGCAGCCAGAAAGCCTCTGAACTTCCATGTTTGAAGCCTTTTATTGGCTTCATTGCATAGTCATGATTGGAATCTCATTGCATAGTCATGATCAGTTGAATCATTAAATATTCATGATTGAATTATGCCCCCTTCCCTTCCTGAGTTTAGTTGGCAGGTGTGGTCTTTGTGACCTGCACTCATTTGCACACATTTGAGTGTTGCCTGGAGTTTTAGACTGGTGCCCTGGTGGCACAGTGCTTAAGAGCTCAGCTGCTAACCAAAAGGTTGGCAGTTTGAATCCACCAGTCGCTCTTTGGAAACCCTATGGGGCAGTTCTACTCAGTCCTGTTGGGTCACTGTGAGTCGGAATCCACTCAACGGCAACAGGTTTGATGTTTTTTTTGGTCTAGCGTTTTAGAAGACAGACACCTGATTGTTGGGGAATTCCAAGGGCTGTCCTTTAGGAACCAAAGACAAAGGCAAATCGAGTTCTCTGTATCACACCTCTCATTCCTCAAAATAAGAAATAATTCAATATTGGTTCTTTTCACTTGTCTTTTATGTCTAGTCTCCTTTTCTCATCCTTTCCTTCTGATAGAGGTCGATTCCTGGGCGTGTAGGGAATACAGGAATCTTTCTTAACCCTGGCACTTTCTTTAGGACCTAAACTCTATTGCCAAATGACAGATCTGCTTGGAATTTTCTCCCTCATCTCTTTGCTGCCAACTCAGGTCAGGCTTCTTCTGAATTGTACCATTTCTTCCCTCCTGTTTCTATAGCCATGAACCCCCAGAAAAAAAAAAAAATTTTTTTCTAGCACTCCTTGTTTTTTCCTTAATATTTATTGATGCTATGATTTTTAATTAAAACACAGGTAAAATGTCCAGTCATGTTTTTGCTTCCTACATATAGCCTTTTCTATTATTTAAACTTATGACCAAGAAGTTTAATGTTAGGCTGCACATCTGGTTAGTAGAAGCACACAGTAAATCCAGAATTGGAATTGAAGGCGGCACCCCTGAACATCAGCATTGCTGAGCCTCTCCATCAGCAAACCACCGAAAGGAGTACATTCAAGAAGCGCCGATGGTTATGACCTACAAAATCAACCCACAAAAGTAAGATTGTTATCTGGTGATGGTACCACACAAAGGCCAGCCTGTTTCCTTATAAGGCAAATAGCTAAAAGAAATGACAAAGAAGAAAGAAAGTGAGGGAAGACAGTGACAAAGATTGGTGGTGGTAATACTATGATAATCATTGGCCATATTGGTCAGGGTTTTTAATTGTAGAAAACAACCCACTTACTAGTTTAAGTAGCAAGAGACTTCTTATAGAGTCTTGGGTAATTTATAGACTTTCTGGAGAGATAGGAAACCAAGCTTTCCTCGGTCAAGAGAAAATCAAAACAACAGAGGCCTGTTCTAGAGGAAAGACCCCCATCAGCTGCTCAGTGCCCAGGAAGCTAAGGAGCAGACCGTAGAACGTTCCGTCATGACTGCTTTAGAAAAACCAGCTGCTTCCTGCCTTGGAGGAGGGCTGCAGAGCTCTACTTCACAGGGCTTGCTTTCACCATACACACTGGTATTTATTTGCTTGGTAGAAGGGTGAAATCATAAAATCCTAGCTGTAAGAGTGAGAATGTAGTTTTTAGATTTTCAGCTTCTGGTGTATAAGAGGGGTCCTGGTGGTGTAGTGGTTAAGAGCTCAGCTGCTATCCAGAAGGTCAGCAGTTCAGATCTACCAGTTGCTCCTTGGAAAACGTATGGGGCAGTTCTACTCTGTCCTTTAGGGTTACTGTGAGTTGGAATCGACTTGATGGCAGCGGGTTTGGTTGTTTGGTTGGTGGTGGTGCAGTGGTTAAGAGCTCAGGCTGCTAACCAAAAGGTAGGCAGTTCCAATCCACCAGCTGCTCCTTGGAAACCCTATGGAGCAGTTTTACTCTGTAGGGTTGCTATGAGTCAGAATTGACTGGACAGCAGTGGGTTGGTTGGTTGGTTATAGAAGTTTATACTAAAAGGAGATTAACATGGTAATATGAGGCTGTGTGCACATTAACCCAAATGTTGAATGACCGAATATTGTACATATATTTTAAGAAAGGAAAAGAATTGCATAGAACATTTTAAAAGACTTTATATTAAAGAAATATGTTAAAATGCCAAAGTTCTAACAACTAACCTTTATCTATTTAGAAAGAGCTTTCTAAAGTGACTTATTTCCCAAGGGTTCTAGACAGCTATTTACTGAACAGAGAAATAATTTTTTTTAAAAAAAGAAAACAATTTCACTGTCCTCCATAGATGGCAGTCTAATTGCAAGCAGAATATCACGTAAATGATAACTATCTTAATTCTTTATTGTAATATACAAATAATTTTAGAGGAAACCTAATTGCAGTAAAAACATACCCAGTATACTCACATAACATAATAGGACCAAGCAAATCTTACGTGTAAGACTGCAAATTTACAATGGTGGAACAAACTATTACTGAATAAAAATTAACCTAATCAGCTAGAGTAGAGCCCAACAAGTAAAAGAGCTAGAAAATCAAAGAATCATCTTTGGTAGGGACGATTAGCAAATAGGCATTTGCCGTAGACCTTTGAGCTGGTATATATGATGGTAACAATCAGAATTTGAAGTGGATTTCTCTTTCTGCTCAGGAATAGTCACTGCCTGTTTATCATATTGTCAAATACAAGTGGTTCTGTTTGGCGGTGTAACTCCTGCGGCTACACCTGAGGTTTACCTTGTCGTGGTCCCTGGACCCTTGATAGCTCTCTTCTAAAGTCAAGCAGCTCCTTCTTTCCCATGTTTCCTTTATTTTTCTTCCCAGCTCTTCTACCATCCCCTCACCTCACCATATACGTTGGATTGGTCCACACCTGTGCTGCTCAGTGCTGCTAGAGACAGTTGTATACCTGTGTGGCGGACAACACTGCCTCCCCACTCCTTATCACTGGGCTCATTTCAAACCTTCCCTGTTCTCCTTCAGCCTGCTCTGCTCCCTCTGCCCCATGACTCTCAGGAGATTGCTTTGCTTCCAACTTCACTGAGAAAACGGAGCCTTCCCCTTAGCCTCCAAATTTATTAATGTCTTTGGTTTATCCAGCTGTATCTCACTCTTCGAGTTGGAAGAAGGTACTTCTCCCACCTAATAACCTTTCTTCCAGTTTTGCTAGAAACTTTATTTTATCAATTAACTTCCCTCTCTTTTCCTTTCTTTAAAGTGTTTTTTTTAATGTAATACTGTACTTGAAACATACAAACAATATATGAAAAATGTCACTTTGGTTTGATCAACTGAATGATAAGGAGAATTTTAGTATTGAACAAGTCTGACTTTGAAAACTAAGTATTAAAGTTACTATAACTGAAAAATTGATTTACTTGTACCACACTCCACCAGCTCACCCACTGCCTATCTCTGTGACTCTGGGCATGTCTTTTAATCTCTGAGTCAGTCTCCTTTTTTTATAAAGTGATGTGGTTGGCCTAAGTTATCTCAAAAGTCCTCAAATGTTATTATTCTATATAATTTCATTTTTACCTATACACATTTTATAAGGAAAAGTATAACAGATCTCTCCTTAACCTAGTTTCCCCTCTCCATACTTCGTTTTTGTGTTTGGAAAAGAACCTGGACAGAATAGATCTTAAGCAGAAACCATCAAGTTATAGAAATAGCACTAGAGTCAGCTTTAGGATGTAGAAGGAGCCCAAGATAAACCTCAGCTTTCTCATCTGTCACTAGGGACATTAATACCTTACTTGCAGACTTTTTGTTACAGTAGTAATAAGTAAATGCTCACAGCCAACTTTTAGTTAAAAAAAAAAAAAAAGTTGAGTTGATTCTGACTCATGGTGACTGACCCCATGCGTGTCAGAGTACTCCACAAGGTTTTCAGTGGCTAATTTTTTTTTCCCTCCATTTTGTGTTTATTATAGCATGCTTGCTTAATTTACAGCAAGCAAAAAATAAGCTGGGTCTTGTTTTGATCCAAACATTGAAGCTCTAAAGGTTGTATACAATATTTGTTAAAAAGAACATATAAAAATACCTTTTTAGAAGCTTCTATAAGAAAGAAAATACAAAGTTTAACCCCACAACTTTCCTCTTAACTAGAACTGCAAACTACTGCTACAGTTTTAAATAGACTTTTTGTTGTTTAAACTATACATCCAGGACAGTGGCTGATTTTTTTGGAAATAGATAACCAGACCGTTCTTCCAGGGTGCCTCTGGGTGGCCTTGAACTTCTAAACTTGTGGTTAGCAGCCGAGCACATTAACCGTTTGTACCACCCAGGTACAACAACTCAGGCACAAAGAATTTAAGTGACTTCCTAGGGTCACACGTCTGATAAGTGGCAGCATCAGGATAGAAACCAGATAATCTAGCTCCTGGATCCATGATGTTAAATTAACCATTACACAGTAGAGCCTCACACGATGATTTAAATGAAATAATGAATGTAGAGGAGGCAGTGGTGGTGTTAGTGATGATGATGATAATGTGTATATGTGTATACCTTGTTACCAGTGAGGAGACGAGAGGAGAAGTACTTTGCATTCAGTTTCTCATATCCATTCTCTTTGGTCCTGCCCCCTGCCCCCCTCGCTGTCTTGTGTCAGGGTCACTGGGCTGTGGCACAGTAAAGTCTCTTGGCAGTGTTACTACTTAGGCCCTCAAGTGTAGACTTGAAAGAAAATTCCTAAAGTAAATTATGTCTTAGGCTGGGTTCTCTAGAGAAGCAAAACCAGTTAAGTGTATAAATATATATAGGGAGAGAGATTATATCAAGGAAACAACACATGCAGTTGTAGAGGCTAGAACGTCCCAAGTCCGTGGATCAGGGTAGAGGCCTCTCCCAAGTCACACAGCCTCAGAAGCTGGCAAGCCCAAGATCGGCAGGCCAGAGAGCAGGGCTCCCACTCACAGGCTGTGCAGATCGACAAATCGCCGGTTCGGCAGATAAGCTGACAGCTCAAGTCCCAGGAACAGGAGATGAGACGACAGGAAGCAGCCACAGGATCCACAGAGAGCAAAAAGCCAGAATGTCTGCTTGTATTCAGATGCAGGCCACACCCGCAAGGAGACTCCCTTTCATCTGATTGGCTACTCACAGTATATTAAGTCATGGGAGTGATTACATTAAAAAAATGAGAATCATGGCCCAGCCAAGTTGGCACACAATCTTAACCATCACATAAATTATATCTGGTAAGTTGTTGTAAATCGTCATGTTCTCCTTCCATTTTCATATAAATTCTTAAATAAGCTCTACAAAATGCGTCAGGAAATAGCTAAAGAAAGAGTGAACGTGTTAGCAGTGAATTCTAGTTAATTTTGCCACTTTACCAGATATTCTGAGAGAGAAACTTTTTGGATGGGAGAAAGCTTAAGTGTTCATACAACTTTTATATTAGTAAATATAATACATTTATTTCTTTTCAAAAGAAAATAATTTATAGGAAGCCATCTAAGTATTTGAGAGAGTAAACATTTTAAGACTATCAGAGAATCCCTTAAAATGACTGAGCAAAGATTTAAGATTTTATGTCTACAAAGAACTTGGCTAAATTTGTTTTAATCTCTTAACCTAACCAAAAGAGTACTCTTTTGTTTTTGGACATTCCCGTTTGGCTTATAATGACTGACCGCCCTGCCAGTGTTAGAAGGTACTAAGAAAGCAATGCAAAGGTCGCTTGTCACCAATATCAAATGGTAATGTATCTATCAAATTAAGCTTCATTATGAATTCCTCACCATGTGTAAAATTTTATTTCTCATACTATTCAGGAGTCATTTCTTCTTCGCAAAGGAGAAACTACTTAAATCAGATGTTCTTAAATAATCTTAACTAAGTTCAAATTAATTTACTAGTTTGGTGCTGATAATATTGCAAAAATAGCTACTAAGTGTTGAAACCCTGTGTGCTAACCACTATATTAAGGAGTTTGAAGGGCTATAGCATACCTTCATGAGATAGTAATTTTTCCCCCCATTTTATAAATGATAACCTATAACCTATTGCCATCGAGTCGATTCCTACTCATAGCAACCCTGTAGGACAGAGTAGAAGTGCCCCATAGGGTTTCTAAGGAGTGACTGGTGGGTAGGACTAGGATTCAAAGAGGTAACTTACTTGCTATGTTTACACAATTGACAGCTGAAATTGGAAACCAAGTCTTTCTGTGCTGTTGTCATTCTTTGACTTTAACTCAAAGTTACTCAGATTTCTGGCTAAAGGAGCTGTTGTGCTAAACATTCTCAAGAAAGTTCAGGGGAATAAAGGAGGAAAGAATACAGAGTTAGGCTTTTGAGAAAGTTTGGATACATAAACTAAACCAGAATCTTAGTATCCAAGATAATTTTAATATAATTAAATAAGTTGGAAGACGTATAGGAGACCCAAAGGAAGCCATATTCTTGCTAGTCCAGAAATACTAGGGACCAACTGAGAATTGACTGTAGATCCAATTGTTTATTCTGCTGTCTTCAGTTTGTCATGTGTCTTATATATTTGGATTTGTGTTCTGATTCTTTAATTCTTCTTTCTTAGCCTTACACCTGAAATAATCAGTACACCTTCCTCCCCAGAAGAGGAGGATAAGTCAATACTTAATGCGGTTGTTCTTATTGATGATTCAGTGCCAACAACAAAAATTCAAATCAGATTAGCAGATGGAAGTCGTTTGATACAAAGATTCAATAATACCCACAGGTAAGCTACTTTTATCGGCCGAGTACCTAGTTTGCTGTTATATACCTGGTTACTTACCTAAATTGAAACTGTATGTGACTTGAGTAATGAACAATATGAAATTCTTTTTTTGAAGTTAGGTTTTTAACAGAAGAAAAAACTTGAAAAAGATAAAGCTGTGTGTATGAACTAGAATATTTGGTATTTAAGCAACTCCTATAAACCATCCAAATACTAATGCAAATTCAGATATCATGCAGAAATAAAGCAAATCTGTAAGAGCTGCAGTTTTGCACTGTTGCTAAAACCCTATGCATCTTTGCATACGTTTAGTATTTATTAAGGAAGAATTAAAAATGCCATGGATGTTTTTTAGTTCATGATTTAATTTAATGTAGTAAAACTTGATTTACACTTTTTGCATTTAAAAATTATAATTCTGATTGGAAATAATTTCTCGCTTTACCAAATTCTTCATAATATAAATGGGTATAAATAAATTTAATTGTGCTGTTGGCAGGTATTTTAAATAAATGGTTTTAAATGTACTGTTAACATCTATTAATACATTGACATTTGCTGTGCTAAGATAATATTTTTATTTGTTTATCGAAGTAAGACCCCTATAAGATACATTTATGATTTTGGTTGAGTGTACTATGTATATGTGAAAGAAATTTTTTTAAAATTATTCTCATGACTTCCACCGGCCATAGTTGAAGACTCACCTTGCCACCAGCTAATCCAAGTTACCAAAGTTTTACTGGGTCATGTGCTGGTAACATAGTTTATAGTCAGAAAATCACTGTCATTGTAATAACATTGTTTACACTTACCTTATACGTAGTTTACCTGAAGATTTCCTGTCTTTTACAGTAAAAGTAAATATAAGGTAAAGGCCAGGTAAAACTTTCCTCATGTTTTAACTTAAGACTAAAATAAGTCTATCCATTGAAATTACCATAAATTAAAGAGTTAGAACACTTTTAAATGAGAGAACTTCATCATTTTTATTATTTAATTTTAACTAAAAGCTTAAATGTTAATAAGGTTCTTGTATCAAATTATTTTTACTTTCTTTATTCAGGATCCTAGATGTCCGAGACTTTATTATACAGTCCCGTCCTGAATTTGCAACTCTTGACTTTATTCTCGTGACTTCATTTCCAAACAAAGAACTAACAGATGAAAGCCTGACACTACAAGAAGCAGATGTTCTTAACACTGTGATACTCCAGCAGCTAAAGTAATCTTGCTCCTGTCCATGCAGCAGCATATAGGAATAAGTAATGTGCCATATTAATAAGGAATTTACTTCCAGCATAAAAACAACCAACTTATTTTTATTACTTTTACAGATAAATTTTGGTTTTATTCTTACTCTGTCTTCCAGCCTTAGTGTAAATGAATCCAAACTAGGGCTAGGTCTTCAGATAAGTAGATTTGAGTTTTTAGTAGGGCTGGCTTATGTTGATAACTTTTAAATATCCAAGCAAACTAATTTATTACATGCTCAGTGTTAATGTAACTATTGTTCATAAAGAAGTAAAAACTCCTTTTTGATAAATGCATTTGATAAAATTTGCACTAAAGTTTCTTGGTGCTGCATCGACCAACAGCCATTAAGAAATCTTTTGATCAAATAAGCTAAATTTGTTTTTCTTTGATTTATATTATAAAGTCTGCATTCTGATTTTGAAATAGTTTGATCATACAATAATTATTTCTCCTATTAAGATTTTATGCATCCTTTTTATTTATTGATTTTAGCTATATTCCTAGCATCAAAATATATAGTTTGACCTTGTATTTTATAGAATTATTGGCATTATAAGCTAGGAACAAAAAGATATAAAGGTCAGCAGTTCTTAAGATATGTTAAGTAGCACTTTAAAGTAGTCTTACAGTCTCTCCAAGAGCCAGCCTTGTTCATATTTATTTGTTCATTCAACACATTTTTATAGGGTACCCACAGTGTATACCACACATGTTCTAAATGGCTCAATCCAGAATGTCCTCCCCTAGTGTGGTTGCAGGAATGTAAATTCCGTCACACAGGCTGGGTCTAAGGAATTACCAGCATAATGCATTTCTTTTGAAGCCAAGTATTTCCTGGCTGAGATGGTCTATATCAGGAATGATAGAAACAGTTTTTCTTTTTCCCAGACACCATTTTATCTTTGGTAACCACTCCTGGTTAGTTTCCTATTGCTGCTGTAATGAATTACCACAAATTTAATGGTTTAAAACAACACAAATTTATTATATTGCAGCTCTTTAGGTTCCAAATCTAATACGGGTTGCACTGGGCTAAAATCAAGGTGTCAGCAGGGCTGCCTTCCTTTCTGGAGACCAGGGAGAATTGTTTCCTTGCCTTTTTCAGCCTCTAGATGTCTCTGGCTTTCCTTGGCTTGTGGTCCTTTCTTCCGTCTTCAGAGCCAGCAACATAACATCTCTCTGCTTCTTCTGTCGTCACATGTCTCTGCGAACAGCTAGGAAAGGTTCTCTGCTTTTAAGGACTCATATTATTAGATGGGGCGCATCTGAATAATCCAGGATAATCTCCCATTTTAAGGTTCCTAGCAGACTTAATGACATCTGTAAAGCCCTTCTTGCCATTCAAGGTAACATATTACAGTTTTTGAAGACTATGACTTGAATATCTTTGGGGAGGTCATTATTCTGCCTACCACAATTGCTTCCTAGCCCCAGAGATTCACATCTGTCTCAAATATATTCACCCCATTCTAAGGTACCCAAAAGTCTCAACCTGTTAGAGCATCAACCCAAAGTTCAGAATCTCTTTTAAATCTCCCCAGCTCAAAAGTCCTGAAGCTCATCATCAAATAAGTTATGGATGGGCCTAACTTTGTGATCAATCCTGGGACGGAATTTCTCTCCTTCTGTACACCTGGGAGACTAGAAAACAAGTTATCTGCTCTCAACTACAGTGGTGGGACAGGCATGCAAAAACAGTTTAGACATTCCCATTCAAAAACGGAGAAAATCAAATGAAAAAAGGAACCCCCAGTCCCAGCAATTTTGAAATCCATCCAAGCAAATTCTGGTAGGTTTCAAGGTCTGGTAATAATCTTCTGTGCTCCTGGCTCCATCCTCTGGCTTTGTGCCATGGTAAGGATCAGCATGAATCTAATCCTCAACACATGGAGATTAATCCATTCCCTACATTCCCACTTCTCCATCCTCATCGCCAGCCACTCCCCATGGCTCGCTCTCTCTCTGACCCTTGCTACCTTGAGCGAGGTCAGAGCTCACAGTTAAAAAGGACACCATATAGGCAGATGCCGGCCATAAGTTTGGGGAGTCCATGCGACACCCCAAGCTTTTGACCTGCTGGCCACAAATTCAGGGCTGGTTTGCCACTACCTGTTCAGGATGCCAGCTGCAAGCTTGGGAGTCCACATGACACACTTATTCTCTGGCCTACTGAGTCCCACTGCCCCTTTGGGTTTGATAATTCACTGGCACAAGACACAAAATTCACAGAGAATATACTCTACAACTACAGATTTATCATAGCCAAAAAGGATGCAAATGAAGAGACATAGGGCAAGGTCTGATAGGGTTCCCAACATAAATCATCCATGTCCCAAGGGACACATTACCCTCCTGAGAGCAGATGTTCTCATCAACCAGGAAGCTCTCTGAGCCTTAGTGTTCAGGGCTTTTATTAACCAGCTCTGCATGATAGGCTAAATCATGCCTCTTGAGGCTGATTGATATCAGTCCCCCAGGTGAGTCTCTTCTGGTCTCACCAGCCCCCACTTGTCAGCACAGATTCTCAGGTGTGGCCTGGAAGTCCCAGACCAAGGCACCTCAGTTACTTGATAGGTTATTTCTCTGGAGCCAAGGAAAAAGGACACCTTACTTAGGATAACTAGGTCGTTTACCCCACAGCTTGTGACTACCCCTTGGAGTCATCCTTCCTTTTCATGAAAGGTAGCACATGTTAGCATCTGAGTGGTTTTATCAACCTGTTTCCTGCTCGTAGAATTTTGGGCCTCCAAAAGTCTTCTCTGGTTTTCTACTCTGTCCTTTTGAGGTTAAGATGGCTCTGTTTCTGCTAGTATAAAATTCTCAAGAGCCTGTAGTTCTCCTGTGTATGTCACAGGGATTCACTCAGTTAGATAAAAGGGTTCTCTAATAATCTTTGCTAGATAGTCCCATCTCATTTTGACTTCTGAGATGGCTGGGGAGGGGATCTATGCATCACACCCTATTCTCTTCAAAAAGCGTCTTGTATGACTGAATACTCTGACCTTTTGATCTTTCTGAGGTATTAACAAAAGATTGTTCAAACATACGATTGGCTTTTACTGTATAACATGCTTTCTTGACAATGAATCGCTTTCTAGTGTCTTTTGCCATTTGTGTAGGCCAAGAGTATCCCAGACCACCAAGTCCTGGTTCCTTTTTAACAGTTCTTCCCTCAGTTTATATATTTCCCTCTTGCTTTTTACTATAATCAGCAAGAAGAAACCTTCATTTTGTTTGGAAATCATCTTAATTAGACACCCAACTTCATTGCTTACAATTTCTGCTTTCCACATAACTGCAGGGCACAATTCAGCTATGCTTTCTGCTACTGTGTTACAAGGATTCCCTTTCCTCCAGTGCCTAATAACAAGTTCCTCATTTCCTTCTGAGCCCTCAACAGCAGTACCTTTAATGTCCGTATTTCTACTAACGGTCTGTTCACAATGATACAGATTTTCTCTACCGTGCTGCTCACATTCTCCTGAGTTCTCACTAGCAGAGTTATTATCCGTATTTCTACTAACAGTCTATTCAAGACAATCCTGGCTTTTTCTGTCATTCTCTTCAAAATTCTTTCAGCCTCTGTTGACTGCCAAATTCCAAAGCCACTTCTTCATTTTTCGGTATTTGTTGGAGCAGCACCGTTTCCTGTATCTAGAAAGGCCTGCAACTTCAGCATTCTAATAGGAGACTTGGAATTCATGTTTCTCTGCAGCACTGGTTATTTCAAAGAGGTGAATTTACCTGTGCTGAGGTTTTAATACTGGGAGTGCTACCACAACTACCATGCCATAGAAGTGGTAAGCTCCCCACTGCAGGAAAACTGTTTCTCAATGTCTTAACACAGAAGAAGATCAATCCTCAGTCTTCCCTTCAGGAGTATGTGAAGTCTTCCTCCTTCCCATTTACTGAAAAATAATATATAGATAATAGCCCCAGTACAGAAAGACTACTAGCAAGAAACTACATTTTCCCAGGAACAAAATCATCTTCCTGAAGAAATGATTTATTGAAAGAAATGAACATTTTAGATAAAAAGGCACTGCTCTGTTTTGGATTAACCAAACAGAAAAAAAAAAAAAAATTAACCAAACCCTGTCAAATTGTTTGAAATTTTACTCTTGTAGTTTTAGTTCATCAGTTAGGTGGAGTACCTGTAGATGCACATACAAAAACAGCTGCCACTTTTGTATATGACAGTCGTCCAAAATGTAGAGACGTGCACGAGGAGAGAGAAATAAACATCCGGGAGGAAGGAACCAGGCTTTCACACGTACTGCATAGTGGTTTTGCTTCATTGAGAGTCATTTTCTGAATTCTTTTTACTGCTGCAGTGTATGTCATTTTTAAATTTTGCAATGATTTCCAAAAATATTATGTCACAATGAGCAGTTAGACAATGTGTGATGTCAGTCATTTTGCATAATTATGTAATCAAAACATTTGAAATATGCACCTTACCAATAAACAGTGTTTTCCCTGAAACACGTTGAAAATATTTGTCAAAATTTCCTTGATTTGTAGTTTTATTTGAATGGCTGAATTGACCATTTTGAACATGAGTAACATTTCCTGTGGTGTAATTTCCTGTGGTGTCTCTTTCTGAGGGGCAGGAAAGGAACCAAGCTGTAGCTATGTTATCTCAGTGTTTCTGTTTTCTTAAACAAACAAACCCATTGCTGTCAAGTTGATTCCAACTCGTAGCAACCCTATAGGACAGAGTAGAACTGCCCCATAGAGTTCTACTGTGGAGTGGCTGGTGGATTTGAACTGCCGACCATTTGGTTAGCAGCCAAGGTCTTAACCACTGCATCACCAGGGCTCTGTTTTCTTACTCCCCCAAAGTAAAAATGTACAGGTGTTCCTTCATTTTTACCACAGTAGATTCCTGAAAACCTTGTTACAACTTGTGTTGTTAATAAATGGATCATGTTTTCCCCATTAGGGTTTGTGTCCCCGATCAGTGATGAAAATTAACATGTAATATGTATGGCTAACATTATTCTAAAGGCTAAGAGAGAGTTTCTGTAATCCTCTTTACAACTTTTAGTTTAAAGCATGTTCTAACTCCAATTAAATGGTTTATAAAAGGAACCCCAATGTGTATGTATAACAATGTTTTATGTGTGTATTTCTGTATAACATAAAAATGGCATATGTGAGCTAGAACTAATATGCTATCTTGATCCACTTAGCTTACAATTTTGCCTCTTTAGAATTTATAGCTATAACCTAGATCTCTTAAAAGAAGTAACTAGCTCTCTCAGAAAGTTTGAACTTGATAGCTGCTTTCTTTGTAGATGTTTTTCTATGAAGCAGAGACATTTAGAATCATTCTAGGGATTTGTAACCTTAAAACTTCCTGAGTGCTTTGTTAGCACAATTACCAGTGCGGCTACTGGAGTGAATGTCACTGGGAAAGGCCACTAGTAAGTCACTGCTCTGCTGATTTGTATCACAAGTACTTGCTTTTTTTGGAGGGCCAGATAAGTAATTACCAACTTATTAGCATGGACTTACAAGCATCACATGTAATTACCAACAAAATAATTTTTTTACATTGGGTTATCAGTGAATGGAAGTATATGTGTTAATTAGAAAACATAAAAAGAAGTTAAAGGTGTGAGGGAGCTGGATCCTCCCCCCCACCCCCATAAAATTTAAAATTACCTTTTCTGTCCTTACTCTGCCTTACTCAGTTTACATTGGCTTGGTAGTACTGTTTAAAATAGTGTACAGTTAATGTAGATTTCCTGCTCGAACCCCTGCTGAGAATTTGCATGTCTAACAAGTTCCCAGGTGACGCTAATACTGCTGGTTAGGGACCAATTCTGAGAACCACTAGTAGAGCAGTGGCTCTCAAAATTTATTACACTTCAGAATTACCTGGGGATCTTGTTAAAATGTAGATGCCGATTCGGTGTATCTGCGGTGGAAATGCAAATTCTCAGCAGAGGTTCAAATTGGAAGGAACCAGCCCGACTTCAACATAATCATACTTAAGACAATGACTTTCCTCAGTTTAATTTTGGGGATAGAAATATTTAAAATGAGCATATGGCCTTTTTATTTTATGCTTTTGCATTGATTGTGTGTGTGCGCCTTATTTACATAGTGTGCCTTTCAGTGTATGTTTTAAAGCATTGTTAACTATGATAAGGTCCTATGCTTGTAGTTTCCGTATTTAACATTTTCCTCATTTTATTTTTCACTTTTGTGTTTGTGGAAAAGGTTTGTTACTTCTAATGTTAACAGGTTTTATCATTTTCATCCCAGGATCAAGAATGATAAAAATTAAAATTTTTAGTTTCACGTAAGAATGTATGTTGATTAAAAAGTAATAACTAGAAATAGTACAGATATTCAGAATCAGTAAGCCTGAAAGTGAATACAAGCAGTGCCTGCTCCCAGTGGCTTGGGGTTTTTAACTGGGCCTGGCTGCTTCTTTTGAGCACAAGAGGTAGTAGGAGGAAGTAACCTCTTACAGAAAGAAATGTTCATCCTTTCTACAAATCGGAGTCAAATTAAACATTCCATTCCATTATCTCTTTTCCTTGGTGGTGGGGTGAGGTGGTCATTTTTATTAATGTTATAAAATTATATGCATATGCCATGTGTTATATAAGCATATTATAAAACAGGATAGTAGCATAAAGGCTAGGATATTTTCCCCTCCTTAAAAGCCTATTAGAATTGTTTGCTTTATAATGTGAGTAGATGTTGGTTAGTGTTTGAAATATTGTGTACGTAGGTATTCTGTGGCAGCTTTAATTTTACATACATTAATATTAAGCATGTATGTAATTCATTTGCAATAAGAGGCACATATCTTAGAGATAACCACTGGGGTTTAACATTTATTGAGGGCCTGCCAGGAGCAGAGTCCTGTGTTTGGCAGGCAGCGTGTTACTTATGGTAAATGTTACTCTGGTTACAGCTTGGCATTCTGACTTCAGCAATTTCTGACCTCTGTAATTTCTTCAGAGTGGCCTTCCCTGGCCCTTCAGTCTAAAATCATCCCTTTGTTTCTCTCAATCTATTACTCTATTTACCGTAGCATTAGCCATACCTAGTATTTTCTTGTCCATTTGTTTAACTTTGGTCTCTGACTGCTAACACTGTCCATTCCTGTTCCCTCAGACACAGAACGTGAGTTCCACAAGAGCAGGGACTTTGTCTTGACTGCTGTTGTACCCTAGAGCCTACGTTATCTTACACATAGGAGTCGTTTGATAAATGTTTCATAATAAATCAGTGAATGGAACCCTCTGGACATTGAAATATATAAGCATTAATGTTTTAAGAATGAGAGATGAAGAATGGTGCCAACAGTTTATACTGGTTATTGAAAACATTTTTACATTTGGTTTAGGTTTTAAAGGAAGGAAAAAAAAAAGATGTTCTAGAAGAAGTGGCATCCTTTGATTTCTGGAAATGAAGCCACCTGGTCAGTTGCCCTTGGTAGAATTGGGATTAAGAGAACTAAGGAATGTGCTTTTGAGGAACTAACACTGTATGTAATACCTGCGATTTTCTGCATCCCAGTAGTAAATGTCATTCTAGAAGATTACAGATAAGAAAGAAGATGGCTCTGTGAAGACGTGGTGGAAACCTGTTAAGTAACTCTGAGTATTTAGACACAACCAAAGGTATGCTAACCACTTGTCGTGTAATCTGGTTGCTTATAGTATAATTTTTCTTAGAGATTTTATCCTTATATATAAGAGTTAAAATGTTGCTAGCCAGAATAATAGCTGTCATTTAGTTCCATTTTATTTCTTTTGCGTAATTTATTTAACATTTTTAGCCGTTAATGCTTCATTTTAGCATGTAAAACCTCATCATCATGTATTTACTTTACTGGTGATATTCCCAAAATATGAAAGTATAGTTAATGAAATTTAATCACAGTAATTTAGGAACATGCTAAAATAATATGTGATAACTTTCTCTAACTGAAAAATTATAGAAAATTGGGTGATGCTAGAGACTTTAATCACATCACTCATGCTTCTGAACTCAGACCAGTTTGAGGAACAGTTGACTTTGGCTACTCTCAGTTTGGCTGAGTTATAAAGAAAATTCTCCTTGTCATATGTATTGTTCTTGTTCTCTAAGTTAACTCTATTACCCAATCTTCCACGCAAACAAATAAGGCAAAAGTGACCGGAGTTACAGATTTCCAAATATCCTTTATAAACAGACAAGGCTTTCTGCAAACATGTATGAGTTTCAGTGTTGTTAGAATTATTTTCCAGAAAGAAAAAGATGTTATAAAACTCTTAATTTTGATAATCCTTACTAGTACCCTATCATGTATGGTAAAATACTAAGCCAGTACTTATAAAATTCCATAGTCTCTCTTGTTGTTTGACTTATTATAAATACAAATCTTAAATATATGTAACATTTAAAATGGCACTAAAGCTTATAAGTATAAGCAATCAGGAGTTCTCTATATACAGTCCTAGAAATAGGAAATTACTTTTAACGCAGGCATCTGAATCCTTTTGTTTTAGATGTAATAAAAATAGCAGAGTCTAGATCTAAGTACACTTCTATGCGTCAGTGAATGCATGGCATATATTAATTTAACTTCCTCAGATGCAGAGGCCCAAAGCACAAAAACTATCTTTTTTCTCTACATTAATTTAAAAAAAAGGGGCTCTATCTTAATTTAATCTGTTAATAGTGAAATTATAAAAGATGTTTGAATTTCTAGAAGTTTTGAAATTTCTGACATTAAGTTTTAATTTCATACCTGCAAATAGTTCCCCTCATTCCACTTTATGAATGGACTTCTAATCAAGGCTTAATAGGCTTTACTTAAATAATTGCCTTTAAGTGTATGCAAAAACATGTTTATTTATTTCTTCATTATTCTTCCTGCCATAAACAACAGTGCTTACTTTTAATAGTAATATAGATACCAGAATATCTAAAAATTGGTGCACTATATGTTTGTGTTGGGGAAGGAGTAGTAGTGGTTGTGGTGGTTTGTTCTGTTCCTGTACCTCCAGCCAATGCTTAAACTTTCACTTCCAGTCTTAATTCTCCTGCCTTTGTCCTCTCAGTTTTTCTTTTCTTTGCTCTCCATATACTTGTCAATATTACTTCCAAAACTTTCTGACTCTTTGGGAGCTTCCCTGGAGACAATAAGTTCTCTGTCCTAAATTGTTGAGGGAGAAGAGCCAGGTGTGGACAGAACCTTGCCAAAGGCAGGGGTGGGAGTGCGGAAAGATTAGGTCAGATGACTATCACTATGAGGGTTGGAAGAGCAAAGCTGCAGTAACACAGGCATGTTTTTAATCAAGAACATCTTTACATATAAAGGTACATTAGAATTGTTGCTAATTCCACTACCAAATGAAATATTTGTTTTTGAGTGATTTACTACAGAGTTCCTTTAAGTGAATTCCGAATGATTTGATTACAAAAAGTAGTTTACATTCAACATTTTAGGTGATCTAATTTGTAAATGGAGGTACATTTTTAAATACTAACAACTGAAAATCCTTTATAAACATAAATCCTGAAATATGATATCACTTTGAATTTTTTTTAGCTTTTTTCCCCCTCTACATTATTTCATATGGACTTCACTCTTAAGAAGGAGCCCTGGTGGTGCAGTGGTTAAAGCACTTGGCTGCTAGCCTAAAGATTGGCAGTTCAAACCCACCGGCTGCTCCACGGAAGAAAGATGTGGCACTCTGCTTCTGTAAAAATTTATAGCCTTGGAAACTCCATGGACACAATAGGACAAGTTCTGTTCTGTGCTATAGAGTCACTATGAGTTAGAATCCACTCAACAGCCCTGGGTTTGTTTTTGATCACTCTTAAGAACCCTGAGGGAGAAACAGAATAAATTATCTTCAGGTGAAAAAAAGACTTGCAAAGAATCACATTGTGAATAGTGATAAAGTCAATGACTCCACTCTTGGTGTAGTTCTGTTTCCATTTTTCAGTGTCTGCTCAGTAAATATGATAAGTATTCAGCATATTAAGTAATTTTCTAAAGGATATTCAGCAAATTTGGTAATTCTTAAGTTCACCACCAAAAAAGCATTTTCAGCTGAAACGTTAATTTATGAAGATTTTGTAACTTTGGTTTCTATTTAATTCTTATGGGAAGGGCTCTTAATGCATTTCAGTGTTTTCTTATGTTTTTCCTCAGTGTTTGCTGTTTTTCTGTTTTGTTTTTTAACCTACTCTAGTATCTTTATTACATCAAGACTGATGTGGCAGAGAAAGCAGGTTGTTTGAAAGGCTCTAACTCTAATTCTGTGAGAATATTATGTCTGTTTAAAAAAACTGGAGATATGAATTTAAAATCTTTTTTAAAATTGATCTAGTGCATGAATCTGGTATACTTATTTAACTACAGGTGAGAAAATCTTAAAAGCCAAAATATAGTAAACCAGTAAGAAATCTGAAAAGTTCTTAATGCGGGTTTAAAAAAATGTTATATATTGAGATTTCTGGGAAGTTGGCAGTGCGAGGAGGTCTAAGATCCCCACCCTCCTACACAAGAAAAGCAACTAGGAATCTGTAATCTCAACTCTGGAAAACTCTGAAAATTAAGCAGAGAAAGAATTGCAGCAATGAACTGTACACTGAAATAAGAAAAAGATGTCTTTTAAACAATAAGAAAACTCTTTTTGCTGTCCCTGCCCCTTTTCTTCTCAGCATGGCAGCTGAGTGGCTGCAGTGGAGGTGGACCATGGCTCACATTCTCAAAAAGGGGGCCTGATTTCTGGCTTTGGAGTGATTTGGGCAGACTTGGCTGCAGAACTGTTTAGTATATCTGTTCTGATTTGTCTAGGAGGTGCCTGAAGGACTGACGTTTTGGTCTCACCTGAGTCAGAGCTCACACAGGGCAGGGGAGGGAGCAGTGAGCAGTGACTGAAGACTGTGTAACTACTTGAGAGTTTCTTGCATAATTTAATGCTTTCAAAAGCACTATGTATCTGGGGAAATTGAGAAAGCCACATGCATGCTCAGAGCTAACATTGTAATTTCTAATGTCTCAAATTAAACAACAACAACAAAAAATCACAGGACATACAGAGAAATTGAAAATGATGGACTATTCAAAAGAACAAGACAGAGGGAGAGAAATTGTCTCTGTGGAAGCCTGGATAATAAACAAATTAGAAGACTTTAAAAAGTACAGTATTAAACATGTTCAAAGAACTCAAGGATATCAAGAAGATGATACATGAACAAAACAAGAATATCAATAAGGAGATAGACACTATAAAAGAGAACCAAACAATTAGTGGAGCTAAAAAATACAGTAACTGAAATGAAAAAAAAATGGAAGGGTTCAACAGCAGATATGACCTGGCAGAAGAATTAGTGAACTAGAGAATAAGGCAATCAAAATATTGACTCTGAAGAGCAAAAAGGAAAAAAAATAAAAAAGCTGAGCAAAGGCTAAGGGAATTGTAGGACATTATCAAGCAAACTAACATATACATCATGGGAATCACAGAAGGACAAGAAAGAGAAAGGGACAGAAAAAATATTTGAAGAAATAATGGCAGACATTTTCCCAAATTTGATGAAGGACATGAATCTACAAATCTAAGAAACTCAAACTCCAAGCAAGGTAAACCCAAAGAGATCCAAACCAAGACACATAATCAAACTCTCAAAAACCAAAGATTAAACACTCCTGAAAGAGCAAGAGAGAAGCTAATTATCACATACAAGCGATCCTCAGTAAGATTAAGTGTCAATTTCCCCTCAGAAGCTTTGGAGGCAGAAGGCAGTGGAATGATAATATTTAAAGTGCTAAAATAAAAGAACTATCAACCAGTAGTTCTATAAACAACTAGACCTAACATGCATAGAAGCCAATTCTCAAGTTCATATAAATTTGCAAGGAGCCCCAAATAGCAAAAACAATCTTGAAAAAGAACAAAGTAGATGGACTCACTCTTCTGCTTTCAAAATGTACTGTAAAGCTACAGTAATGAAAATAGTGTGTTTCTGACACAAGAATAAACATAGAGCAATGGAATAGAATTGAGAGTCCAGAAATAAACCCATACATCTATGGTCAATTGATTTTTATACAATGGTGATAAGTCCATTCAGTGGGGAAGAGAATAGTCTCTTCAACAAATGGTACTGAGACTAGATCTCCCCATGCAAAAGAATGACGCTGAACCCATACCTCATATCATATGTGAAAATTAACTAAAAAAATCAATGAAGGACCTGAATGTAAGAACTAAAACCATAAAACTCTTAGAACAAAATGTAGATGTAATGCTTAGGAACCTAATTTTTGACAATAGATTCTTAGATATGATACCAAAAGCTCAAGTAACAAAAGACAAAATAGATCAATTGGATCTCAAAAATGTTTGTATATCAAAGGACTTTGTCAAAAAAGTGAGACAGAATGGGAGAAAATATTTGGGAACCACGTATCTGATAAGGATTAAATATCTGTTATAGATCGAATTATGTCCCCCTAAAATGTGTCAACTTGGCTAGGACATGATTCCCAGGATTATGTGGTTGTCCACCATTTTGTGATCTGATGTAATTTTCCTGTGTGTTGTAAATCCGAACCTCTATTACGTTAATGAGGCAGGATTAGAGGCAATTATGTTAATGAGGCAGGTCTTTATCTGCAGGATTAGGTTGTGTCTTGAGTCAGTCTCCTTTAAGATGTAAAAGAGAATCAAGCCGCAATGGGGGGGGGGGGACTCATGCCTTCAAGAAAGAAGCACTGGAAGTGGAGCATGTCCTTTGAACCCAGGTCCTGGCACTGAGAAGCTCCTAGACCATGAGAAGACTGATGACAAGGACCTTCCCCCTAGAACCGACAGAGAGAGAAAGCATTCCCCGGGAGCTGGTGCCCTGAATTCAGACTTCTAGCCTTCTAGACTGTGAGAGGATAAATTTCTGTTTGTTAAAGCCATTCACTTGTGGTATTTCTGTTATAGCAGCACTAGATAACTTAAGACAATATCCAGGATCTATAAAGAACTACAGCTCAGCAAAAAGACACACAACCTTCTTTAAAAATGGTCAAAGGACTTGAATAAGACATTTCTCCAAAGAAGAAATACAAATGGCCAACAAGCATATGAAAAGATGCTTAACATCCTTAGCCATTAGGGAAATGCAATGAGATGCCACTTCATCTGCACTAGGCTGGCTATTATCAGAAAATAACAAGTGTTGGCAAGGATGTGAAGAAATTGGAACCCTTGTGCATTACTGCTGGGAATGTAAAATGGTGCAGCTGTTGTGGAAAACAGTTTGGTGGTTCCTCAAAAAGTTAAACATAAAATCACCATATGACCCACCAGTTCCACTCCCAAGTATATATATACCCAAAAGACTTAAAGCAGAGACTCAAACAGCCCAAGTGTCCATCAACAGGTGAATGGATAAACAAAATGTGGTATATCCATAGAGTGCAATATTATTCTGCTATAAAGAGAAATGAAGTTTTGATACATGCTACAACATGGATAAATCTTGAAAACATTATATTGAGTGAATAAGTCAGACACAAAAGGGTGAATATTGTACAGTCCCACTTACATGAAATATCTAGAATAGGCAAGTCTCTATGACTAAATTTTGTTAGTGGTTACCAGGGTCTGGGGGGAGGGGGAAATGGGAGACAGATTGCTTAAGGGGATGTCTGAGGGGCAGCAGGTGGATTTGAACTGCCAACCTTTTGGTTAGCAGCCAAATGCTTAACCACTGCATCACCAGGGCTGTGCTTAAAGGGGTAGTGAGTTTTTATTAAGGGTGAAGAAAAAATTCGGAAACAGATAGTGATGGTTGCATAACATTGTAAACATAATTAATGTCACTGAATTGTACATGTAAAAATGGTTGAAATGGCAAATGTTTTGTCATATATGTTTTACCACAATAAAAAATTTTAAAAATCTAGGGGCGAGGGAGGAACCCTGGTGGCGCAGTGGTTAAGAGTTCGACTGCTAACCGAAAGGTTGGCAGTTCAAATCTACCAGGCGCTCCTTGGAAACCTTATGGGGGAGTTCTGCTCTGTCCTATAGGGTCACTATGAGTCAGAATGAACTTGACGGCAAGGGGTTTGTTTGTTTGTTTTGGGGGCAGGTAGGGGGAGGAGATGGTTATCCTCAGTATAAGAAAAGAGATTACTACGTCAGATACCATTGCTTGGCAGCAATTAACAGTATAACAATACTATATTTTCGGAACCCTGGTGGCGCAGTGGTTAAAAACTCCACTGCAAACCAAAAGGTCAGCAGTTTGAATCCACCAGTCTCTCCTTGGAAACCCTATGGGGCAGTTCTAACTCTGTCCTGTAGGGTCACTATGAGTCGGAATCTGCTCCACAGCAAGGGGTTTCATTTTTTTGGTTTATTATCTTTTCATTTCGTTCACAAAATGACTTGGACCTTACAAAACAGCCCAGGATGGAAGATACGGGGATATCTGTGCTAGAATACTTGTGGAGGAGGAGCCACAAGTACTCAAACAGTAAGTGAAGAAATGGCTTTTTTCATGTCAGTATGTGGCAGTAAATAAAGCCACAGGCCCTGTTAGTCTTTACAGAGATCAAGGTGTAAAACAAAGTTCTGTAGTTACCTCTGACAAGTTAACATCAGGACGTTGTTTTTATTATTGTTAGGTGCCATCCAGTCACTTCAGACTCGTAGCGACCCTATGTACGACAGAACATAAGACATTAAAAAACAAACACATTGCCATGGAGTCAGTTCTGACTCATAGCAACCCTATAGGACAGAGTAGAACTGCCCCATAGGGTTTCCAAGGAGTGCCTGGTGGGTTCAAACTGCCAGCCTTTTGGTTAGCAGCCGTAGCTCTTAACCACTGCACCACCAGGGTTCGTAGGATGTTAGGTTGTGGACATTAGGTTGTGGAAATTTAGTTACTTCTTCTTATTTCCACCAGGGGGCGTGCAGGCCCTGTGGGAAAAAAAATTAAGTCCGTATCTTTCTCTTAGCTGCTTTAATAAAATAAAGGAAGATGATGACGGTTACTTGTTAACAACAACTAGGAATTATATAGACATCAGTATCATTTAACGATGCTTTTTTGACCTCCTGAAGTATAAATAAGGAATACTTGGCTAAATGTAATTAGCATTTTCAGGAATGTAATAATGTTAAATTGTAAAAATATTGACAGTATCAGTGTAGTAGGCCTTGGGTCAGTTTCAGTTAAACGTTCAACATTATCCATGTATCCCTAGGGTCACTATGAGTCAGAATTGAATCCATGGCAATGGGTTTGGGGTTTTTTTGTTTTGTTTTGTTTTTTGGTATGTGTCCATCACTTTAGTTTATTGCTCACTGACCATTCTCCCTGGAAAGCATTTTAAAATGCCACACTGAGTGTCTCAACTCCATCAATAGTGCTCTCTCCCTTTAAACCACCACCCTAAAAACTAGTCCTTAACTCTTCTCCTTTTCTTACCCATGCCATATCCTCCACTATTTTCCTTGGCTAAATTCTGGTTTCTCAGATTTTTTTTCTATTTTTGCAGTGACCAGTTCTCACTATAGTGAATTCTGCTTTGATCTTTCCCTTTCCCTTTCCCAAAATTGTGGATGCAACTTTACTGTCATCAAATCAGCTAACAGACGGGGGTGGGAGGGGGAGTTTACTTTCCTTAGAAGTTGTAAATAGCATTTCCCCACCCATTGTATAATGGTTTGGGATCTTATTATTCTTAACGAAAATGTGGCTATCACATTGCAGTTTATTTTTATAAATGCCATTTACCTGGAGTGTATAGACCTAAGCATATAGACTTATTTCAGCATAACCATAGGAAGTATAATACACGAAGGATCAAGGCTGTGTGTAAGTGAGGTTTGATATCTTAATGGTCCCAAATAGCTGTAGTGCTTAAAAAAAAAAAAAAAAAGACCTTGATAAATGCTGTTCAAGATCTGCTCTTATCAGCAAATAGCCTTGATCTTGGCTGTTGGGTCCAGAGTTTGATCAGGCTGTGGCCTATGTTGATTTTGGAGGCTTGACAGCTCTTCAGTGACAAAATGCTTGCCATTTCTAAGCTTTCTAACACACACACACACATACCCCACTTCTGCTATTCCTTTGTTCTGATAGACACAGTCATAACCTATCGTCATATAATCTTTGAAAAATGTGCCATTTCAAAATGAACAGAACAAAAAGGGTAAAATAATATCCTCAACTAATTAACAAACTTCTGTAGAGCCAACCTTGAGTCTTCATGCTTTATTTGAGGTTTATTTTTCAAGCACTTAATAGAAGCAAGTGTATGGTCAGCATCCAGTCATGTCTTTAGTGAAGCATCATTTGAATTCTTCCCTTTAAATGAATTATCTGCCTAATATTTAGCTAAGGGCTTCAAACCAGTTCATTCTGGTTCAAACCCATGCTGAGAATTTGCATTTCTACCGCAGATTTACTGAATCAGAATCTACATTTGGGGAAAAAATTTAAGAAGCACTTATCTAGATAAGAACTATCAAATTTTTTAAATCTCCAGGTTGGAAGGTCATCAGGCCTAATATCTATACCAATTTACCAACGAATACATTTGTTTTTTAACACTAGCAAAACTCTGGAAAAATAGATCTCACTCACTGATGTTTTGGGAATGTCTTTATCACTGATACAAACTTACTTGGCCTTCTGGAGCAAGATCAGGTTATCTGGAAGCCACTGCATTATGATCCATTTTCATTTTCTGTCCCTTCTCAAATAAATGCATCTTATAAATCAGCCACTCTACTTACTTCTTTGCCTCGGTGATGTCTAGTGGATATCTTGTAGTAAAAATGTGGCAACAATTATTAGACCTCAAGTCCAGCTGAAACACTGGAGCGTCTGTGGCACCGACTGAAATGCCTTTGATGGTTGGGTTCATGAAGGATTGTATTGGTGAGCATTCTTAGTTGCCAGTGACTTTTTGGGTATCTCACAGAATCTAAGAATAGTTGACCTATGTAAGGAGTGGAAAGGAAAGAATTCATTTGAGCTGCAGGATGAGCTAGTACCAGGAGCTCAAATGTTATCAGGACCTTCTCTCTCTTATATCGGCGTCTCTGTTGTCAACCTCATCCTATCTGTATGCACATTAGCCTTCTTGATGTGGCAGAAAACAGAACAGCTTGAGGACCTGACTGAGCCTTGACAACCTTCATGGAGCGCTAATAGCCTTCAGGGAGGGTATACTCCCCAAAGCCCACTTCAGATGTGACCTTGCGGATAATGGACAGAAAATTACTCTCTCAGAGGAGAGATCTCGGGGCCACAGAGAACATAGACAAGTGATTCCTCACAGAGAGTACAATCGCAGTCTACTTAAGGGACGCCTTCTCACCACCTACCACTCACTTGTCAGTGCAGAGAATCCTTACAACACGTGCCTTGAAGATTCCATGTTTGCTGTGGAATGGTGACTGCTGTATTTCTTCCTCTTCTAAATGGGAGGTTTTACTGCAGTTATCCAAGCCTTGCCTCACCTTTGTATATAGAGAATGATGTAGAGGAGGG